GATACTTCATTCTTCAGTGTTATGCAATTCTGAGAATTGTCTTTAGATATCTAATCGTTATTTGACAATAGTTCAATAATATGAACAGATCTTTACGGAAGTGATGATAACTACTTGATAACGCAAAGGTGAACGACTTTGGAGTTCGATGAAAATTTCTGGCAAGTATAAAAAATAGAATCTCAGCTTCACAGAATTAAATTATACGACTTTGAACATCTTTTGTATTATCTTTCATTTTTAACACGTATTGCAACGAAGGTCGAGATTGATCGACACTTCATTTTTCAGTCTTATGTAAATCTAGGAATTGTGTTTAGACATCTAATCGTTCGTGTATGTTTTTCCTCACACTTCTTGCATCACGAGAATTGAGAAACCGATTGAAGAAACGCCGCGTAATAAACTGTACAATGATACCGTTTTTCATTACAGTAATTTGCATCGCGAACAGGTTTCCTCGAATTACGAAAATTATTAAGAAGTTATACAATAGCGGGATGAAATATATCGGAAATGAGAAAGTCAAGACGATATAATAATATGCAATTTCTATTTATAAATCGATGCCAGTGCATCGATGCAATACATATGACATATCATTGAAAAAGAGGATTACCTTGTTCGCCTTGCGTTAGAGGGTAAAGTTCGATCGAGGAAATATAATTACACAAAAGAAATGCTAATTAGAGAAAATTCCAACTTTGCATCTGAATCAGTGTTTGTCTGTTCAATTAGTTTTCTTCCATGTAGTTCGTTCGAAATATTATTCTTACGTCAGGTGAAAGCTTCTGCGTTCGTAACCATCGTAATTGGAAGAAAACCAGTTTCGACTCGTACATAATACGCTCGCAAAGATTTCCGGTAAAATTAATTCGTCAAATACATGACTCGCAAAACTGATCTCAAGATATGTACATTTCTATGAACGTGGATTTTCCCTAATCTTCACGAATTGTCTGCATGTCAATTTCGTGCAAGATAACATGTTTCAAGAAATTCGATATGTTTTTATGTACACATGAATTTGTAACACTGTGTATATTATGTACCTGTGAAGATATGAAACGGTGCACATGTTACGAATCTTCAGCCGAAACTTTCACCAGCGTGTTCACCTCTGCGCGTGACTCGAGTATATCATGACTCGATTAAACTATACGATGATTCTTAATTTAATTATTAAAAATTACGTCTACAAAGAGAATTTATTTAGCGACGAAATTAAATATTGATTAATATTGTAATGAATTCTATAATAATTGTATAAAATTTCTGTAATAATTGTGAAATTCATTTGGTTTTCAATGCAACTGTTACTCTGTTATGTTTCAGCTCGCTTTCTAATGCCAGTGACGGTAACGTCGATACGTAACAATCCCGTCACTTCCTTAAAATAAATCCTGCAATCTTAAATAACCAATACATGAATTATAACTTCGATCTTTCTATTTGCTAATTTCAATTCTCTTTTTAAATCTCAATAAATAATTTCTAACATCGTGGAAACGATGATTAAATGAATTAGTTTCGACGAGACTATTAGACCAGAACAAAGCGTATGTGCGTGTTCAATTAAGCGTGGAATCGTGGTCACGCGATGTCAAGACTCACTTTCTATTTGTTCGAACGCAGAAGGAACGTAGCCGTGGTTGCAGGTCAAATTCTTAAACGAATTTCCCAGTTGCTGGAACTCGGTCTCCATCTTGCTGGAAACACTGGTTAACAGAAAATCGCGATTATTTCGTGTTTGGCTCGCGACGCTTCTCAGCGGGAGAAACGAACTCGCGGTGTCCGAGCGTTTTAAAAACGGCGAGAGACCCGGAGCCACTTTAGCCGGCGAACAGTGAGAGTCGGTTCCCCACTTTTACCGCCGTTGGATCGCGTTTATTGCGGACGGATCAAGCGCTAAAATAAATACCGTCACCCGCGATCGCTTCCCTATCTTGTCTCTGTTGTCTTTACGTTACGCTGCTTCAAGCCTTGAGACGATGATTATTTGATCTTCTTCTTTAGTTAAACAAAAATAGACTCGACTATTTTTACGGTTCTAACCGAGT